AGCCCCTTCCTGCCTTCCTCCCCCTCTTTCCCGCCTCTCCCGTCTGGTTCCTCGCATCATGCCTCCCCCTCCGCTGTCTCGCTCCTCCGTCCCCCTGCCTCCTCGCGCCCCCTCTGCTCTCCCGCTCCCGTGGCCTCGTTCCTCCCCCCTCCTCGTTCCTCCCCCTTTCTCCTTCCCCCTCCTCCTCTCCTCCTGGCCTCCTCCTCCTCCCGGCTCCTGCCTCTCGCCTGCGCGTGGCTTGCTCCTCTGGCTCCTGCCTCCTCCCCGCGCCGCGCTCCTCCCTCTCCCCCCCCTGCTCCTGGTCTCCTGGTCCTTCCGTCCCTCTCCTGCGCCTCCGTCGTGCCGGCGTCCCTCCTCCGTCCTCGCCGTGCTCCTCTCCCCCGTCCCTGCCGTGTGCCCTTCCTCTCGCTCCCCGTTCTCGCTCTCCCCACCTCGGATGCTGTTCGCCCCCCCTCCTCCTCCCCTTCGTCCGCTCCTCCCTCTCCTTCCGCCTTGCTCGCTCCTTCTTGCTCTACTGTCTCCTTCTCCCCTGGCCTCCTCCTCCCTGCCTCGTCCCCTTCTCGCCTCGCTCCCCTCCTGCCTCCCGGCTTCTTCGCTTCTCTCCACTGTCTCCCCTGCCCAGCTCCTCCTCCCCTCGCCTCTCCTGCTTCCCGCTTCTCCCTGCCTCCCCTCTCCCCGGTGCCCCCTTCTCCTGTCTTCCACTTCGTCCCTCCGTCCAGCGCTCCCTCCGCCTCCCTCCTGACCTCCGTTGCCTTCTTCCGTTTCCTCCGCTGCGTCCCCCCTCCCTCCGCCCCCTTCTCTCTTCCGATTCTCGTCCGTGCAGGCTGCTGTCCCCTGGCTGGGGAAAGGGACCCTGCAGCAGAACAGGGAGGAGCTGCCATGGCTGTGCAGGGCTGGTTCTGCCCAGAGCCTGGGTGACCTTCCGTCCTTGAGGCCTGGGCCCTCCTCTGCCTCTCCTGCCACCACCCTGCAGTGGTAAGGCCAATGTCAATCAAATAGTGGCCACTGTCCGTTTTCTCAAGGACAGCAAGACATGAGCCTCACAGGAATCTGTGCTTTTTGGAGCAGTTTTGTCCAGTTTTACATCCCCACCCTCTTGCTTGCTGCTAAATCAGTCAAAGATGCCAAAAGGATGTCATAAGGCCACTCCCGGGACTCCTGGCCCCCAGGGAAGGGTGAGGTCCCTACAGAAGGGAGATTTCCTGTCTTTTGGCCTTAGAGTGTATGTAGGCCCCTCTGTTGCCAAGTGGATAGAGTTTTAAATGTGAGGGAATATTCTGGAAACGCAGGTGTGGTCAGCTGGGTGGCGTGTCCAGGCCCTCCCAGAGCCAAAGTTAATTTTCACTTCCAGGAGCGGTCGTCAAGCCTGGAGGTTAGACTCGCTTAGCAGAGAAAGCAAACTCCTGTGAGCAAGGTTGGGCTCAGTAGACTGGGGCTGGCAGAAGAACACAAAATGAAACATAACTGAAACTAGGAACTGTGTGACTCGGGCTTAACAGCAGGAAGCAAGAGCGGCAACTCTGAAGACAGCAGACGTGTCTGTCCCTGTTGCTCTGTGTCTTCGGGTCCAGAGACGTGTGTGGCCTCATCACGCGGGCTTGAGCACTTGGTGAGCCTGCGATCACGTAACTGCCGTGGCTCTAGGGTCTTTTACCAACTAGGGTTTCTCTTGTATGGGTATTTGTTTAATTACCTTCTCTTCTTGATAGTAACTATGATGTCACGAAACACCGTAGACAGTAAGTACTTCTTTAAGGACCAAGTTAGTTTTCATATAACCCACCAGCAGATGACAAGAAAACACAAGTGGTACTGACCCTCAAAATAGTGGCTAAAGTGGAAAGAATGTTACGGAGGGAAGCAAAGCCCTCGTTGGTTCTCAGTCTGTGATCTGGCCACAACCTTCCCCAGCCTGCAGGGGTCACGTCTGGTCAGGGACTTCCAGGCAAATGAAATGCCCTAGGCCACGGCATCCTAGACCCTGGAGGGGAGCCCAGGACCCGTGGAGAAACAGTGCCCACTAGCGAGTGACGTTCTCCAGAACTGCCACCCGCAACTCCCTCCTGTAAAGACGCCACGGCGGAGCCAGGGACCTCCACAGAAGAGGCGTGGCCCAGCGGGCCATCGTCAAAGACCTGAGGGAAGGGCTGTGGACACATGGAGAGATATCACCCACCCCTCGAAACAAGGAGCCCAGGTAATTAACCAGACGCTTGAAGATTCTTTCTGAAAGTTTGAGGAGAAATGTTAAGGAGCCCACAATGCCAACTTCCTTAACTTGCACTCTTGTTTCCCGATTATTTTCATCAAATCATAACTTGTAGCAAAATAATCATTCTCAGCAAATCTGTACTGAGTAACCCAGAACACTGAGGGCTGATCAGGAGGAATGTATCCCATCACTAGGAAAGCTCTCCAAAGAGAACCGTGGAGGAAAGAAACTTAATTCCAGGGAATAGCTCACAGACCGGCCCCGTGTAAGAAGAAAGTGCTCAGAGCAAGAGCTGGGGGTGTTACAGCCCCAGTTCCCACCTAGGTTCCCAATCAGGTCCACCTATGCAAATGAAGGCTTGAAACGTGCCCAGTTCTGATTGGTGGCTGCAGCTGGGCCTTGATTGGTCCACTCAGTCCCAAAGTTAAAAAGATGTGGGTTTGCGGGAACTCAGAGTACCTCTGTGGGCTCCGGTCAGGAAATGGCCAGGTGGCTCTAGTCTAAATTTAGGCCCAGTGAGCCAGGTGGGATCCCCTTGATGGACTGGCTCCTTCAGAGTCACGTTTGCTCACACCTGACATCAGCAGTTCTTAACCACAGTGGTACCGGGGCTGTTGTCTTATAAGATTCTCCAAGTTACGACATTCGGTTTGGGAAATTATTAGATTTCTCAAGAATCTTAGCAGAATCATGTTTAGGAAGCAGTGTAGTGCGATCCTCACCTAAAACCCAAGCAAAACAGCATCTCCACGTCAGCCACGGCTCACAGCAGTGCTGCCGGTTAGAAGAGGGTTCCAACAGGGGAGAACAAGCCAGTAAATTGTGTCTCCTCCTCCCCTGTTCTGCGCTTACATGGTAATCTGCACCCCTGGCTCGATGAATTTCGTCCATATTCAAGGTCAGGGTTCTACTGGCTGCAGAAGCTGCTGGCGGCCCTGCCCACCGTCTGGGGCGACTCCACCACTCAGAGCGTCTGGGCTTCCCTTCCCCGCAGAGGGCCCAGCCTGCCACCCTCACCTGGGCGTCCTGCTCTGCCCCAGGCCGTGCCCCCACCTGTGCACACACTCGCCCGCGGCTCCCTCCCCGCGCAGCTCACACCGCAGGCACGCGGAAGGAACACCCCGAGGGTGCCCGCCCTCCGAGGTCTCCGTCCTCCCACTTCTCACTTCGCGTTCCAGCTGCCTCTTCCCTTCTCTTCCTTCTTTTCCTAGATGGCTCAGATTCCCTTCTACGTCCCTGGGCAGTCCCACCCTGCTCTCCGTGCGCACCTGCTCTCAGCAAAACCCAAGTCTGACCACACAGCTGAACCCACTGCCCGGCCTTTTGTTTTCCCAAACAGGACCTGAGAGGCCAGTTGTGGTGGTGGAGAAGTCCTGCTGCTAACGAGCTAGATTTTCTCCATGTCGTCGTGTCCCAAGTGACTCAGTGTACATAGATTTTGCCAGGTTTTATTTAACTTCTGAGATATGATCTTACCCATATAGGTATGTGTGTGTGGGGGGGGTATATGTGTTGTGTGGGGTGTGTGGTGTTTGTGGTATGTGTGGGGTGTATATGGTGTGGGGGGTGGTGTTTGGAGTGGGTGTGGTGTTTGTGGTGTGTGGTGTTTGGAGTTGTGTGTATAGTGTGTGGTGTTTGTGGTGGGTGTGATGGGTGAGGTGTGTGGTGTGGGTATGTAGGTGTGTGTGATGTTTGGTGTTTGTGATGAGTGTGTGATGTGGGGTGTGTAGGTGTGTGGTATGTGTGTTGTGTGTACTACAGGGTGTGTATGGTGTGTGTGTGGTGTGTGGGTGTGGTGTGGGTGTGTAGATGTGTGTGGTGTGTGTGGTGTGTGTGGTGGGTATGGTGGGTACGGTGAGCGATGTGTGTGTGGTGTGTGTTATGTGTGATATGTGCTGTGTGTGGTGTGTGTGGTATGTGCTGTTTGTGTGGTGTGTGTGGTGTGTGTTATGTGTGATACGTGCTGTGTGTGGTGTGTGTGGTATGTGCTGTTTGTGTAGTGTGTGTGGTGTGTGTGGTGTATGTTATGTGTGATATGTGCTGTGTGTGTTGGTGTGTGTGGTGTGTGTTGTGTGTGTGTTGTGTGTTGTGTGTGGTATGTGCTATGTGTGGTGTGGGGTGTATGCTGTGTATGGTTTGTGTTGCGTGTGGTATGTGATGTGAGGTGTGCATGTGGTGTGTGGTGTGTGCTGTGTGTGGTATGTGGTATGTGTGTTGTGTGCTGTGTGTTGTGTGCGCTGTGTGTGTTGTGTGTGGTGTGGGGTGTGTATGGCGTGTGTGTTGTATGTGCTGTGTGTGTGTGCTGTGTGGTGTGTCTAGTGTGTGGTGTTTGTGGTGGATGTGGTGTGGGGGTTTGTGGTGTGTGCTGTCTGTGTGGTGTGTGGTATGTGTGTGGTGTGTGGTGTGTGTGGTGGATGTGGTGTGGGTTTGTAGATGTGTGTGTGTGGTGTGTGTGTGTGGTGTGTGCTGTGTGTGCTGTGTGGTGTGTGTGTGGTGTGTGCTGTGCGGTGTGTGTAGTGGATGTGGTGTGTGTGGTGTGTGGTGCGTGTGCTGTGTGGTGTGTGTGGTGTTTGTGCTGTGTATGGTGTGTATGATGTGTGTGGTGTGTGTGGTGTGTGTGTGTGTGGTGTGTGTGGTGTGTGTGTGTGGTGTGTGTGGTGTGTGTGGTGTGTGGTGTGTGTGTGGTGTGTGTGTGGTGT